TTACCTCTGGCTCCCCTGTCTAGTTGGAGTTCTTTGTGGCTCTTTCCCAGCAAATTAAACCTTTATCCAGAAACTCTGCCAAGGTCAGAATCTGGCCATGTGTCCTTTGTGCCCCAAGAGCCATTTTGGAATTTGGGGTTAATATTGTTGTTCCAACCTGGACATTCCTCCAAAACAGCAGATGAAAGAACACATGCTTCCTGCTCCTTCTGCCAATTACAGCAAAGCGCAGCCATGTTTATTTACCCTGTGTCTGAGCTGGCTAGATCTTTGACCTATGTGTGCTGAACACCACCCGCTTTCTCCACACGCAGAGGCAGGGGCGGGTGCTTTTCGTATCTCCAAGGTGGCACGGCAGAGAGGAGACCAAGGGCACTAGGGAGCATGGAACCGCAACAGACTTCCAGATGTCCCTGTGCAAGACACACAGGGAAGCCTGCGGTTTCTAGAAACGTGCTGCTGCCTCCCATCATTGTGCAGATTTCTCCCGGCTGCCTGGCCAGAGCGTTCTACTGCAACACCATCCCCCAGCTCTTCTTCAGACACCTCCTCCCAGACGCATCCTCTGCTTCCCAGCAGCTTACCAGCGATTGCCCCCCCCCTCCCCTGGCCTACCACTTTTGGTAGGGCGCACCTCCACTTCGGAACAGCTTAGGAAGCACTCAATTGATGGAAGGAAGGTTGGAGGGGGAAACAAGGCTCTTTGAGAGCCATTGCTGTATGACCTGCCTCCGTCATCGTTTCTCCGGCTTTGTCTGGCAGGAGTCACGCCCGCTGCGTATCCTTGGAACAAGCAAGCCAGAGAACCCCCCTTCAACCCTCAGAACCGCCACAGAGAAATTCTGTGCCCACCTGGCTAAGTGCAAGCTTCGCGAGGAAAAAAGAAAAAAAAAAAGTTTTCATCAGCTCTGCCCGAAATTGAGCATCAAAGCGGTCCTTTGTTCCAGGGTGGCTGGGCACCCTGCCCACCTCAGTCACCGGATGGGAATGTCCCCCGCCCCGTGCCGCAGAGGAGAGGTACCTGGCTGCCTGCAGCGGCTTGTCCAGCGCCGGCTCCCCCGGAGGAGGCGAAGGAGCGATGGCCGCGACGCTCCGCGGCTCCCTCTGCCGCGCTGCCCTCGGAGCGAGCAGCGGCGCAGGCACCCTGCGCTCGGCAGCCAACCACACTGCGGCAGGGGGAGGGGAGGGATGCGGACAGGCTCCGGGAACAGGACGGTCGGACGCTCTCCTGGGAGCGCAGAAAGCGCCACGCGCGCCAAGCCCACGGCTCCCTCCTCAGGGATCGACCGGAGCACCAAGGAGCAGGGCCAAGCCCCCAAGACGCCGCCAAACTCTGCCCAAGGAGATCTACCGAGCATCGAGCTCCTCCTCAGACCGCCAAAGCCTTGTTCCAATCCCATCCTCCAATCCTGTGGCGAACGGTTCTACATCCTATTTGGTATTACCCTCGCCTTCGTCCCACTGCTGACCCCATCCCAGCCCCTGAAGCCGAGCTGGTGCAGCTGCAGAGAACCGTCCAGCTGCGCGGTTGCTATCGCTGTGCCCACAGCGATGGCCAGATACAGGAGATATGGGATAGCTGGAGCCCTACCGTGTGCACACTGCACAGGGTGGAGCTAGGCCAGGCAGTGCCTGGAAGCACTTGTTCAGTCTCTAGGTGCTTTACACAGAGAGGGGACATCGACACAGCCTCCACCTTAGTTGCTACAGTGACCCCATCCACAGTAGCACACAACTGTCACGGTGCTCCCTATGATGTTTTGTGAGCCTTATGCTGTCCCCAGCTACCTACATCTGCCTGTCCCAGTGCAGAGCTTCACTGGTGTTCCTATCCCTTCCCACTGATTCCCCCGAGGGGGAAGGGCTTCAGGTGTCCCAGGAGACAGCCCAGCCATGTTGACACGCAGATTCTCTCTTGCCTCATCTCACAACATACATTTCTTCTCTAAAGCTGTTCTCCCTTCCCTAATTCCAGAGGGCAAACCTGGCTTGCTACGGGGTACACACAGCAATGGCACAGTTAAAAGTCACACAAGTTACAAAGCAGGAATGCAAACATACATTACATACGTTATTTGTCTTACAGTGAAAACCATTCCGGGCAGTGAAGGAACAGACTAATTATAGAGCGGTGAATCCCGCAGTCTGTGCCCACAGCACCCTGGAAACAGCTATGGCTGGGACTTCGGGCTGACCCACCGTCGTCACATACACACTGCGCTCCTCCCTCGGGAGCTCCTGGCCTCCGCCAGCCGACCCGGCCCTGCCCGCAGCGGGGCCGGGACCACCGAGCCTGCGGACCCGGCGCTGCCCGAGCAGGGCGGGCGCCGGCGGGGCCTCCGAGCCAGTGGCTCTCCCGGTGCCGGCGGGGGCCGGTCCCGCGGGCCGCACCTCCCCGGCTCCAAAGTCCGCAGGGCCGGCGCCCTTCACGCCGCCGACCCGCGGCATTACCGCGGCCCGCAGGACCCGGCACGGAGGCCCCAGCCCCAGCACTGCCCTCGCTCCTCCCGCTGTCCCGGCGGACAGGGCTCGCCGAGGTCCCCAAGCCCCGCCGGCCCCGGCCCCGCCACAGGGACCTCCCCGGCTCCCCTCGGGGGTCCCGCCGCGCCCCGCGGCCGGCGGGGGGGACGCCGCCCCGGGAAAGGCCTGCGCCGTCGAGCCCCGCTCATCCTCCCCTCGCCCGGGGCCCCGACCGAGACCCGTGACCCCGCCCGCCCCACCTGCTCGGCGCGACACCTCGATGGCGGCCCCGATCGCTGCCCCGGTCCCGGCGGGGGCGGGGCGAAACTCACACCCTGCACCGCCCGCCCTCCCGGCGGCGCAGCCCCTTTAAATCCAAGATGGCCGCCGCCTCCGCCCCTGCCGGGCCCCCCCCCCTTCAGGTCGCCCCGCCCGGCGGCCCCTGCGCTCGGCCGTGGCGGCCATGGCGGCCATGGGCCTGTGCCGCGCCTTCGGGGCGCTCCTGCTCTCGGCCGCCCCGCGCCGCGCCCGGCCCCCCGCGCTGCCGCCCGCGCCCCCGCCCTGGCTGCCGGGGCCGGTGGCGGCCGTCTGCCGCGGGCTGGGCGGCTCGGCGCCGCGCTGCACCACCGACCCGCTGTGGAAGTGCCGGGTCAAGTACACCGTGCGGCCCGTGGGCATGAAGAAGACGGGTGGCCGCGATCACACAGGTGGGCGGGCGGGCGGGGACAGGCGAGCCTGCGGGGCCGGCGGGACGGTGCGGGCGCCGCCTGCAGCCGGTCCCATGTCCCACAGGTCGCATCCGCGTGCGGGGCATCGGCGGGGGACACAAGCGGCGGTACCGCATGATCGACTTCCACCGCCTGCGCTACGAGGAAGGAGCCCCGCAGGAGCCCTTCAGCGAGAAGGTCATCAAGGTCCGATACGACCCTTGCAGGCGAGTGCGGGGTGCGGGCTCGGCCCGGGGCAGCCGTGCCGGTGGTGACCCCCTGCTCAGCCTTCGCCGGCTCCCCGTGCAGGTCGGCTGACATCGCCCTGGTGGCCGGCGGCAACCGCAAGCGCTGGATCGTTGCCACGGAGAACATGCAGCCGGGGGACATCATCAAGAACTCCTCTCACATTGGCAGGATGGCAGGTGCATGCCAGGGCCAGGGACAGCTGCACCGGCCTTGCCAAGGGCTCGTCAGCTGCTCCTTGCCCAACTTGTCAACTCTTGTCTTCCAGTGTCTGCCAACGAAGGGGATGCGTACCCACTGGGGGCTCTGCCCGTCGGCACGCTGATCTGCAACCTGGAGAGCCACCCTGGGAAGGGAGCACAGTACATTCGGGCAGCTGGTGAGGAGGCCCTGCACTGTTTGTAGTGGTTTGGCTTCGCACAGACGAAGAAGAGGGCAGGGGGGCACTGCTGTGGGTGGCCAGTGACAGGGAGTTGCTTTCATCTCCTCTCCCGCCGTTAAGAGTGCAAAACAGCCCTCCGGAGAGGTGGGGACAGCTCTTCCCTGTTGATTTCTCAAGGCCCTCTCTTCAGCAAGAAGTGCCGCATGAAGTGCAATGGCAGGGGCTTTGGGGAGTTCCCAGCATGGGGATGTGCTTGCAACAGGGTGGGATACTTTGAGTTGGTGCTCAAGGCAGCTGCCTCCTCTCTTGCCTGCTGCAGGGACTTGTGGGGTGCTGCTGAGGAAAGTGAACGGGACAGCCATCGTGCAGCTGCCCTCCAAAAGGCATATGCAGGTAAAGGAGCCGTGTTGCCCCTGGCTTGACTGCCTGGGCATGCAACTGTGTATCCCCAGGGAGGGCTGAAGCTCTTCTCTGTCCCCCAGGTGCTGGAGACCTGCGTGGCCACAGTGGGCCGCGTGTCCAATGTGGATCACAACAAGCGGGTGATTGGGAAGGCAGGCCGGAACCGCTGGCTGGGCAAGCGCCCACACACAGGCCTGTGGCACCGCAAGGGTGGCTGGGCCGGGCGCAAGATCAGGCCTCTCCCACCTATGAAGAGCTATGTCAACCTGCCACGGGTCAGAGCAGTGGAGTGATGCCAGGGGCCAATAAAACATCTTTCATGACACTGCTGTCACATTACTGATGCCTTTTATGCACAGGGCCTTTGGGGCTGGTAGTGGAGTTGCCAGGAGAGAGAAGTTTGGGGTTGTGGATTGCCTTGGTGGGTGAGTGACTCGGTGGGGTCAGTGGGCACAATCGTGCCAAACCTAGCTGTTGGACAACGGGGCTCTTCCCCCACCCCCTCAGCCTGTGGAGCAGTGAAGGCGAACGGGCAGGAAGGCGCTTCCAGCGAGAGTGACCTGCTGCGCAGCTGGGAAACACAGACCTCAGCGCCTTCCAGCCGCGTTAACCCCGCACTGCGCCCCGGCCCTGCGCCGGCCGCTGCCGCCCCCTTCCCTCGCCACCTCCCGGTCCCGCTGCCCTCCGAGTGCCGCGCCGTGCCCCCCGCGCCTCACGCAGCCCCAGCGCTGCCCCGACCCTGCCGTGTCCCGCCCCCGCCCGCTCCGCGGTCCCGGTGCCGCCCGCCCCGCGCAGCCGCGCTCGGTGCGGGGCCCGCGCAGGCGCCCGCGGGCGGGAGCGGCGCGGGAGCGGTGCCGGAGGTAACGGGGCCGCCCCGGCCCGGCCCGGCCCCGCGGAGCAGGGAGGGAGGGCGGCGGGCTGGGCACGGCGTGGCCGCCAAGCGCCCCGAGCGGCGCTATCCCGGGCCCTCTCAGGGAGGCCTCGGTAGCGGCCCCCGGCCAGCCGGGGAGGGGGTGCGACGGCCGGAACGGGCCGAACCGGGCGCTGCCCGGTGCCCGGCGAGCTCTCGTGTGGCCTGCGCCTGGAAGGAGCTTTGTTGCTGCCGCTGGCGCGGCCTGCCCGTGCGAGCGCTCCCCGGTGATGGTAGCGCCGTGCCGCCTGCCTTTAGCGTGTGTGTCCCGGGCGCAGGCCAGTCCGTGCACCGTGTTCCGACTGGGTGATGTGCAGCGGAGCCCTGCAGTACAGACTTACACTGGCCCCTGGGTCCAGCATGTGTATTCCAGCTGGCTCGGGGAGCTCCATCAGCACACAGGCAAGGCGTTGCAGCTGAATTTCCCGGGGAAACCTGCCGTTCCTGGGCACTGCTGTCCATGTTCCTGCCATGTCCACAGCCCAGCTGGCAGTCCAAAAATTACTGTGTTCTGCCCTGTTATCTTGTTTCTACACATATGCAGTTAGTTTTCCAAGGAGAAAGCAAACTACATCTCATACTTCACTAGGCTTCCTGTATTAGGAATTTGTAACACTGACCATGAGTACAGCTAGTACAAAAGCACATTTTATTGGTTGCACTGCCATGTCTCCAGCACTAGATCACAGATCTCTAGCCATAGCATGCCTCAGCCACATCTCCCCAGCTCCTGCTTCCCCTCTGTCTCTGCAGGCACATCTGCTGCCATGGTGAATGAGAAGCACAGTGGCAACCTGCTTGTGCAGCTGGGACCCAAACTGCAGGCCTACCCGGAGAAGCTGCTCCAGCAGCGGCGAGGCCGCGATGGCCAGCCCGAATACCTGATCCAATGGAGTGTGATTAGGTTGGAAGAGAGAGCAGTGGGAGCCAGCAGTGCCTCCTCTGCAGAGACCAAGCCAGAGAACATCTCAATGTGGATGTCTGCAGAAGAGGTCTGTGCCAGCTGCCCAGCTCTGCTGGGCAAGAGGAAGCTGGAAGGGCGGTGGGTGAAAGAGGAGAAGGCGCCCAGCCCGTTGGCTGCAGATGTCCCGCTGGACGAAGCCTCGCTGCTGGAGATGAAGGCCGATGTCAGGAGCCTGGTGCAGCGAGCCGAGCGGCAGGTGGCCGAGGCCGGGACGCCCGAGTGCTCCATCCTGAGCACTGTGCACGTGCTGAGCGCCTACGCCAGCATTGGCTCTCTGGTGGGTGCCTTCAGGGAGACGGGAGCCCTGGACGTGCTGATGAAGATGCTGTGCCACAGGGAGAAGCAGATCCGCCACGGTGCCGGCAAGATGCTGCGGGCCCTGGCTTCGCATGATGCAGGTGGGGGCTGCTGCTGCTCAGATCCACTGTGGAGGTGCTGCTGGGCAGCTGAGGGGTGCCAGTCCTTTTGTAGGGGTGAGATGCCTGGGAAGCAGCATGTCTTGGGGCTTGTTGGCAAAGGGGAAGAATTAGTCTGGATCTTCTGGACTTCCTCAGTTGTAGTTGTCTGAAGTGCTGTAAGAGTTAAAAACTCTTTCCCCTGACAGATTTCTGAGCTGGGATGCTAATTCATTGTTAGGAGTGTTAAAGAATATTAGGGGTGGCTGTCTCCTCCAGCAGTTCTAGCACCTCTCCTGCTCTGCCACTAGAGCCCAGCCTGGGGAGTCTGGGGTTCCTCAGCCTGAGGGATGCAGCTGCCACTTTTCCATTTGCAGGTTCAACTAGCCCATCCCGGAGTACAGACATATGCAGGACACTGACATGGCTGGGCACAGACAGTGGAGCTGTCTTGAACAGCACGTACTTACAGGACTCCCATAAACACAAGCACAGACAGCCACGTCCGCTCCTGCTCTTCGTCCAGCCAAGACAAGTTGCTCCTGCTAGCACACACTGCACTTTTCAGGTTCACAATTACACACACATTCATGGATCCACTGGATCCCAGCATGGCCCCTCTGTCTCTCCTGCACCCGTGCCTGGATCCAAGCCTGCCTACCAGCCTCAGGAGTCCCCCTGCTCATCAGTTTGTCAAGCCCAATGCTTGCTGACAAACATATAGCCTTCAGACACTTGTTCCTCCCACAGTCCACATTCACAAGTCCCTTGGGACTTCCAGCACAGGCCACCACCTGCCTCATACCTTGATCTGGACCCAGGAACTCCTACTTGCCAACTAATCCAGAGTGAAGTTTTGCTAACAAATTAAATGTACACTCCATGCCAAGCAGGATTGGGGAAGATATAAACACTCACCCTTTCCCCCTGGCACCAGGCACTGCACTCCTTCTTCAGCTGCTGGTGCTGACCTCCTCACTTGCCTCCCTTCCAGTAGCTGTTTTTTGGGACACACACTGTTCGGTCCCCAGTGGCTGATGGCCGAGGACCCTCCCTGTTCCAGTCACTAGCACTGAGATCCTTGCACTTGCCCCAGTAGATGGCACCTCAGGCCAGGGACACCTACACCCTCATCAGACTTGAGTAGCTTGCACTGAGTCCACTGTACCCCAGTTTTCCCAGTAGCTGGCTCCAGGCTCAAATCCATGAGACCCTCCCCAAATTAAGAGGGCAATGGCATCTCCAACTGTCAGTCTGTCCCCTTGCTAACTCCACAGGGTTCTCATGCCCCCAGTTAGGCTCCAGTTCTTAGTACCAAATGCAATTCACACAGGTCTCACCAGTAGCTGGCACACAGTCCTTGCAGTACACACGGACATGGGGTAGAGAGAGTTAGAAAAGATTTAATAGCAGGATGTAAAAAAGTAGGACAAACTGTGTCAGTGAGGTACAGGGCTGTTAAACAAGTGCACTGGCTGGCCATGGTTTAAACATGACTGGTGCCTTTTATATTCCTTTCTGTGCACCCTCTTTTGTCTTCCTTGCCAATTCCAATTAGTCAGATAATCTTACTGAAAAATAATCATTCTTAAACTCCTAATGTCCTTACTAATTATTGTGACTGACCAGATTTGTTTCTCCTCACTGCCTCCATTAGCATTTGTCACTCATGATTGTGATTCTTTATGTTATCATTTATGGCTTTCTTTTTACTTTCACTTTTTGCAGTAAAAAGGTCCTTGGCTAGATACACTTAGAGGAAGGGACAGTCTCCTTCTGCATACTCTTGCAATGAAGACTGGTGCCAAGGGGCTTGGCAGAAGCCTGGAGGGTAGAGGCTGATCCTCACCCAGTTTTCTCGTTTAAGAGGAGCTGCCATGACTTGAAAGTGCCTGATGAGGCTTGGGTGCACCTGGAAGGTTGCTGGCTGTGGTGTAATCCCGCAAGAGATCTGGCTTTCCCTGTCCTAGTGTCTGAGTTCATGCAGCTCTGTAGTAGAGCAGATGAGGGGCTGATTCAGGTTAAAACTTCTTTTCTTCCCTGGGACCCTGATGTGGAGTCAGTTATTTGGGTTACTGCTTAGGGTGAATCTTGGCAGCTTTAGGGGTGGAAAAAATACATTGTGGAGCAAAATGTTGCCACTCCAGATGAAAGGACAGAACGTGGTTCAGGTGACAGGGAGCAGCAAAGCTGTTCCTTGCCTGTGGATCTGTCTCTTGCAGGGTGGGTGGGTTGAGGTTTGTCTCCATGGGGCCTGAAGAGTTTTTGTTGCTGTTGCAGAGAGCCGGGCCTATGTG